ACAAATAAATAAATGAAGCAAGTATTTGTTCAATATTAGCACCTAGTGGAAAACTGTAAAGAGAATTAAGTAAATACATTAGCTTATACATGATGTTACGGTAATGCCTTTGTTGCATTTAGTTATGGTTTATGTTGGCGATAAATTTAAATATGAAATGTTTGGAGAATAAATGAAACACGACATTGGATCAGCCTGTGGTCTGTGGTCTTTATATTGTAGCTAAGAAAGATGCACAAAGATGCAAATGCAAAAACTGCAGTTTTATCTCCCTTCTCTGAACACTCACTGTCCTAAACATCTTGCTTCTTGTACCCACCTCAGCTTATTATAGCTCCACTGAACTCCACTGGACTACAAGATTCTTGAGAGTAAGCGCTATGTTGATTCAGCTTTATATCTTCATAATTATTTGCACATGGATGAATGAAGGAAGAAGCGATCCACCGAAAAGACAATTGGGACAAATAGAAGGAAATGTAAAGGCTGATCCTATGGACCAGGGAGAAAAGAGAATTGATGATAGGCTGAGAGAAGAGCATGTGAGAAAGGCATCAAAGTGTGAGAAGCACATTCTGCCTATGGAGAAACTGTGAGAAAAGAAGCTGACCCGGTCAAAGCCAAATCATGAAAAACCCACAGGTCATGCGAAAGAGTTTGGACTTCATTCTTTAGGCAATGGGAAATCATTCAAGGAAGTGAAAAGACAAGACTTGTATTTTAGAAAGATCATTCTGGCGCCATAGAAGTTGGCTCGGAGTGTGAGAGAGGGGTAGACATGCGACAGTGGGGCCAGCGGGGGCAATTAGAAGGAGGCTGTTACGGGTTTTCGGACAAGACATGCCTGGGGTTGGTCTTAAAGCCAAAACAATGGGAATGAAGCAAAGGGGAGGGATCTGACAAATATCTGGAAGTTTTAAGCAATCGGAGCTGGTGATTGTACATAGACAGTGAAAGAGAGAATCTAGGACAACTCTTAGATATTTGAGTGGCGGTGCCATCCATGACAGCAGGGCTTTAGGAAAGATAATGGATTCTGTTCTGGGACCTGAGAGGTGGGAAAGTAATGGGGCTCGTAAAGCAAATAGAAGAAATTCGATTCAAGAGGTAGCTGGAGAACCAAGAGAGTTGTTTATAGTACTGTACTTTCACTGTGCTTTATCTTTTCATAGCTAGGGCCATTATTCTTTCCTTCTAATCATTTGTTCAGGCTTTCAGAACCTTTTAATATTCATACTGTATGTGGAAGAGCCCAAAAGAATCCTCTATTTTCCCTTATATATAAGGATCCCTTGATCTAGTGTATGTTTTACTGATCCTGCAGAGCCCCTCCTCATCATAACTACTCCAAGGGTAAAATTTAAGAAGAGACCTAGTGGGCCGCTAGGTCATTCTAACAGGAAATTACTTTTCAACATATAATAAGAACATCTTGGGCATTCCAGAACCCTCAAAGAATAACACTTCCCTTATATTTTTTGCATCAAATTGTGAATGAGACTTTTTGGTGACCAGCAGTATAAAACTTTATAAAACTGAAGCTGTAAATTCTTAAGTACTAGTAGAATCCCTGAAGATAATATTTTCATAGGCAAAAGACATCATGCTCCTTTAAAAAAAAATGAATCTCTACTTTTCTACAGCAGTACATTGTCCTTCAAAACAGAGTGGGGTGCCTGGGTGGCTCAGTTGGTTAAGTGTCTGCCTTAGGTCATGATCTCAGGGTTCCAGGATGGGGCCCCGCATCAGGCTCCCTGCTCAGCGGGGAGTCTGCTTCTCCCTCTTCCTCTACCCTTCCCTCCCTCACCAGCCCCTCTGCTCGTGCTTTCTCTCTCTCTCAAATAAATAAATAAAATCTTAAAAAAAAACCAAAACAGAATTATTTCTAAGGGCAGGACTACAAAGGTAGCAAAGGTAGTTGATGTTTAAAATTTAAAAAGGAAAGGGACGCCTGGGTGGCTCGATCGTTAAGCATCTGCCTTCGGCTCAGGTCATGAGCTCAGGGTCCTGGGATCAAGCCCCTCATCGGGCTCCTTGCTCCATGGGAAGCCTGCTTCTCCCTCTCCCACAGCCCCCTGCTTGTGTTCCCTCTCTCGCTGTGTTTCTCTCTGTAAAATAAATAATTAAACTCTTTAAAAAAATTTAAAAAAGAGAAAGGAAAAAACACTTTTGTTTAACTGAATATCGAACTGTTTCTCCATTCAAAAACAAAAGTACCTGCTTTAAAAAATGAAATAAATATGATAAACTCACAACCAACATAAAACAGCTCACTGTCTCAAATAATTTACTTATCTTATTAAAGATAAATTTATATCCATGGGGGGCATAAGTAAATTTTTTACATAAGTAAAAATTGGGGGACATCTTACCCCATACTTCCCCTTACCAGCACAAACTTTAAAAAGTAACTTTGTTCATTGTTCAATGTGTTTCTAACAAAAAAAAGAGCTCTTTTCTTTGTAAGGTACCTTCTTGTAGTGCTCAAATGTCAATTGTAACCTTGCTGAAATCAGCATGTTACATGCTGACTCTTTCTTCACTGTCAAAGAGTAATTTTTAAATGCACTCATTTCACTCATAATACTTGCAATCTTGAAATGGTCAGGATCACTCACAAATTTCAAAACCCAATGGGTTAAAATGGCTAACAGACATATACGTGAGAATCATTTATTTTTACCAGTGATATGAAACCACGTCTGGGGCCATACAAGTCATCTCAAATTGTACCAACTTGATGCATAACATCTCTTAATGCAGAAAGTGAAAAGCTTTAAACTGTAGGAGAATTGCTAAATTTCAGACAACACATATTTACACTGGAATCTATCCCCAAACCCTGGAACAGATACTCAAATTATCTATGACACATAGGCCAGAATTTAAGCATTTGAATTCTCAACACAGAGCTCTTCTTACAGAGATGACAAATGAATTCACAGCTGCCAAATTTTATGATTCAGTCAGAAGATGATTTGTTGAAAATTTTTTCCATGATCTCAACATCTTCAGACTTTAGAGAGTGAATGGCTGGAAGTTGAAGAAATAAGAAGTAGTGTAATAACTAAAATATGAAATACTTCAAAATCTACTTTTAAGAACCAGCACAGTAACTTGAATTCTTGGTACTCTAATTCTGAGATGTGCAGGTAGAATTTACGGACTTTTATTTTTTTTTGTTTTGGTTTCTGAGTAATTATGGATGTCCACAGGATAGTTTGGCTGTTCTGTGTTTCAATAGACGTTTGTATAATATTTTTCGCTTGTTCTTCATGGTGAATATTTTTTCTTGCAAATGTTACTGGGGATCACTCTGACAATGAAGGAAGAAATTCTGTATTTCAGAGGCTCACTAGGAAAAAAGTCCCACAAATATTCAGCATCTTCTGTATTTCAGGCACTGTACTGGGTGTTTTCACTTTTACTTACTCGAAATGCCTCAATTTGTGTCAATTCCAAATACAGGCAGTGTATTAGTTTTCTACTGGTATGTAACAAATTAAACAAATTACCACAAATTAGCAGCTTAAAACACCTGGCATTATTTAGGTCACTGTTTTATAGGTCAGAAATGTGGTCATGGTGTGACTGGATTTTCTGCTGAGTATTTTTTTTTAATTTTTTTTTTAAGATTTTATTTATTTATTTGACAGAGACACAGCGAGAGCAGGAACACAAGCAGGGGGAGTGGGAGAGGGAGAAGCAGGCTTCCTGCGGAGCAGGGAGCCTGATGCGGGGCTCCATCCCAGGACTCTGGGATCATGACCTGAGCCGAAGGCAGACGCTTAACAACTGAGCCACGCAGGTGCCCCTCTGCTCAGAGTCTTAAGTAATTAAAATGGAGATGTTGGTCAGGCTGTGTTCTCATCTGGACCTCAGGGTCCTCTTCCAAGCAGAATTCAATTCCTGTGACTATAGAAATGAGGCTTGCATTTCCTTGCTGGCTGTCAGCAGGGAGCTACTCTCAGTTCATGGGGACCTCCTGCATTCTTTGCCATATGGCCCCCTCCATCTTTAAAGCCAGCAGTGGAGAATCTACCTTGGGCTGAACACTCTCCACACTTCAGATCTCTCAAGGAAGGTCCTAGTCCCTTTTATAGACTCACCTGATTAGGTTAGGATATCTGATTATCTAGGATAATCTCCCTGTTCTAAAGTTAACTGATTTGAGATCTTAATTATATCCGCAACATCCCTTCACAGCAACATGTAGATTAATGTTTGGCTGAATAACTGGGAGAAAAGATGTGTACACCAGTGGATAGGGAGTCTTGGGGACAATCTTAGAATCCTGCTTATCACTCTTACAAGAATGTAATAAAAGTGTCTGCTAGGTTGTATTCTCATCTGGAGGTTTGACTGGGGAAGAATGTGCTTCCAAACTGACTCAGGTTGTTAGGATCCATTTCCTTGTGGCTGGCTGTATGACTGAGGACCTTGGATTTTTGTTAACTGTTGGCTAGGCACCACTCACCAGTGTTAGAGGCTACCCATCTCTCCCTGCCATGTAACCTTCTCCACAGGCAATTCACAACAGGGCTGTTTGCTTCTTGAAGGCCAGTAGGAGAATACCTTTCTCCAGTCTATTAAAACAGAGTCTTCTACGATGTAATCTAATCATGGGAGTGACATTACCTTTCCCATATTCTTTTGCTTTGGTGCAAGTTACAGCTTTTGTCCAACACTTAAAGGAAGGAAGTTATGCAAAGATCTGATTCACTGAGAGTCACCTTATGGTGTGTCTGCCAGAGAAAGTACACTCAGAATGACTATGGAAGAAGTTCAAATCAAAATGTTTTTCAGTTTGTTTGAGTTCAGTGAACAGGGCCTGGGGTAGGGAGGGCAACTTTAGGTATGTTGAGTATACAGTAGTTGCCACTAGAATGTCAATCCAAATGGATAAAAGGATGTCCTATCTTCAGACCCCAGACCAATGTCAGATTGTGTCGGTTTGAATCCCAGCTCAGTCATGGATTAACTTTACTTCTGTGCCTCAGTTTTCTCCTCTGAAAAATGAAGATGATAGTATGCCCACTTAAGGCTCATTATGAGGATTAAGAAGACACCATTTAAAATGGAGCCTGACATACAGTAAGTGCTCAGTAAGTATTAGACATTATTTTATATTCCTTATTCCCCTCTTGGTGATCTATAGTGCATCTGTCATTCATAAATTTATCTAAATCTAAATTCTTAATCCCGTGTATTTTGTATGATACAAGGATTTTGGTATACCCTGTCCAATCTCCTCAACTTTAAGGGCTCTTCCTTACTTCTTTTCATGGATTTGATGAGGTTGTCCACATTGATTCTTGGTTCACATATCATGGTGCTGATTACAGACATGTTTCATTTGCAAACTATTAATAAGTCTCCTGAGGGAAGGAAATTTTAATGTAAATTTCATTTAACATATTTGAATTTTTGTGTTGTATTCTTCAGTTGACATTGAGTGGTAGATTACAGGTAAGAGCTGATAAAATCTGGTGAGTGCTGGTAGTTAAAAAAAGAAAAAATATATACAGTTTGTAGTGGTAGGTAAAGAGCTGTGTGTTGGGATGCTCACACACACAGCCAAACATCCTGGGAATTTACACAGTCTGTATGTTGGGGGGAAGCTTCAAATTTACCGAATTAAACTGAGTAGCATCAGTTCTGTGCTCAGCTCTACACCAAACTATCTACAGGAACAAAAGTGAGATAAGCCTCATTTCCTATTCTGGGGCTTATAGTGTTGCCAAGGAAATAAAGCTCATACATATTGGACAGACATAATATAAGATTGCATGGGATTGCATTAAAATGAGATAAATGAGTAAATGGGTATGAGTGATATAGGATCTCAAAGGAAGGAGGATCAGGGAGGGTTTCCTACAGGGAGGCTTGAGATTGGTTTGGATTACAAGTAGAATTTGGATTACTGAAATGAGAGGTTATCATTGTTCTCATTTTGTCACAGCAGACCTTAGGGTAACAGGGATTAAAATACCCATTTGAAACATGGAAAACAAAATGCCAAAATACGAAGTGACATGATCCATGTGTTAACATAGGATCCTGTTGTCTAGTTTTTTTGTTTTAAACAGAAAACCCTACCATTAATTTTTTTTAATATCTCACAACTTGAAAAAATGTGAGTAGCCTTACATGTGATTACACGTGAATATCAGAGACAACAAAACAGGATATTAATTTCTTGTCTGATTAAAAGATGTCACAAAGTATAAAATGCTCCATCTTGTCTTACAGTTACGTAAGTTGAAAAAGTACTTTCAGGTCTCCACTTTCTTTAGATTCCCACAACAAATCTTTGACTAGAAAGCATGGTCATTTATAGCTACGTACATTCTATGTAATAACCTATCTACAAACTCATATTTCATTCTGTGTAACGGGAGAATCTATTTTAAATGGCTACTTATAAATCACATTAAATCATACAGGCAACATTATTAGTTGAGAAAGCTAGTAATTGAATGTTATTATTCAATTGTTTATGACCTTATCATTTTTCAGAGTCTCTCAGAAACCAGTTTTCTACCGTGAGCTATTGGGGTAAGTAGAAAGATAGTTAGAAATTCTTATAAGCTGAAGTTTACTTCTCCCAATCATAAATTCTTTATTTAGTAAATACAAGTTCATCTCATGCTTGTAAAGCAGGGCACTATACTTCTTTTCAGCTATTTTAGTACATCTTGAATGTGTTTCCTTTTTAACTGGAAAAAGAATTGTGCTCATAAATTCTCCCTGAACTCCTGAAAGTCACAGTGAGCACTGCCTACAGGGAATCCATTCCAGTAGATGGCCCTGGGATCAATATTGATAGTGACATTGAATAAATGGGTTGGATCTTCCCTTTTAAACACTCAAGGCTACAAGTAATGCAATCTCAAAGAAACAGATGAGGAAAAATAGGTGTGGGGGTGGGGAATCCAGACTTATGTCTTACTGCACCAGAAAATAGATTAATATCATTTGAAACCTCTATCTTATTTTCAAGTCAGACAGGAGAGAGGGATGGGGCCTCCCACATTCACTTTAAAATAGCTAGAACCTGAGGATTGCTTGTCTGTTTGTTTTACTCCAGGGTATGTGCTACCCGAAGGTACCTAGGTAAGGGGGCAAGTGGGGTTAAATTCAGTTCTCACTTAGCTTGCCAATCTATGTGACTACACGGGAATATATCTGCTTGGATGAATTGGCATCCTTCTAGTAGATGGCTCTATTGAAGGCCACCCTATTGGTACCCAAGCAAATGTACTAATTGTACCTGGAGAATTTGAATGTGATAAATGTCTTCGCTCTGCTTATTCTAGTTAAAAGTGCATGCCTTCCTTTCTCTGTGTGAAGACCGTGTGAAGAAGAAGAAAATTTTCAACTCATGAAGACAACTTTCAACTCTCTTCAGTAGAGAAAAATATTCCAGCTTCATAAAAGGCTATTGTTTGTTAATTCTACCCTTTTGTCATGACATTTAAAAAAAATATTTAGCTATGAGATAAAATACAATGTCACCAATCCCTTACATGAATTCTTATCACCTACTAAAGAGTTCTACGGTGTGACTCCCAAACACACGTTGTAATTCTATAGTTTACGTTTTACCCCAAACTCAGGAAGCAAGCTCTTCTTTATTTCCTCTGCCCTTCAAAATTCCTCTTCCTCCATGTTTCAAAGTTCAGCACAAGGTTTACCTTTTCCAAGAACCATTTCATTTTTCTCTCTTCTATGCTAGAATATTCCTCTACTCTATCTGTTCATCCCCAAAACATACAGTTGGGTTGACACAGCCCAGACTCCAGGCTGTAGCAAAAGACCTCATAACTCCTAAGCAGAGTGGCTTGGGTTTAGTGGGGGTGGAGCGGCATGCTCAGTAGGAAGACAGAGAAAAGGCGAAGTTGGTGGCAGTAACAGCATTGGGCAATGCCATGGAGTTGAGGAGAGGAGGCATTCATCAAAAAGAACAGCACCACTTCAATCTTTAGACTCCCAGCCAAGACTACTGTCATTAGCATGCTCATGGGCCAATTTAGAGAGCTCTTGATCCCTCCAATACTGCCTGAGAAAAGAAGGGAAATCTGGGTACTTAGGACAGCTTTCACCTAGTGAGTACTCATCCAGAGACTCTGTATAGTATCTACTATTTTATAATTCTGTTACTCAAAACCCCTTGACTGTCTTGCCTTACGCCAGTGAATGGGGAATCATAGTATGCACAACCACCGACATGCCCAAATTGCCTTTTTGCAGCTCTGCTACCCCCTAGAACTATTTCCTGCTTTATTTTACTGTGTATTTATTTCTTTCCCCATCTCCACACTGCCTTTTTCCAGCATATTAGTTCTTTTCCCTAATATCAGGATTAGTCTTTAAGTATGAGGATAATGCAGTCAAATAGTCCTTGTGAGTAGAGGAGTAAGTAACTAGGGACCTACTAGACAGAAGCACACCAGATTAACCTGCTACTTTTTCTGAAATGTGCACTTAGGTTTCTTCTGGTGTCTTTGCTCATACCAGTCTTTCTACCTTAATTAATTTTCTCACTCTCTTGACCTATTAAGATCAAACCTATCCTTTAATAGTTAAGTCAAGGGCGCCTGGGTGGCTCAGTTGGTTAAGCGACTGCCTTCGGCTCAGGTCATGATCCTGGAGTCCCGGGATCAAGTCCCGCATCGGGCTCCCTGCTCGGCAGGGAGTCTGCTTCTCCCTCTGACCCTCCCCACTCTCATGTGCGCTCTCTCTCTCTCTCTCTCTCAAATAAATAAATAAAATCTTTAAAAAAAAATAGTTAAGTCAAATACTACTTCTTAAAGTATTTCCTGAAATACAATGTTTTTTACTTCCTGTTGGCATATATCTTACAGATTTAGAGGCAACCTGAGGCAGGACGAGAGCATGGAAGGCCAAATGGATGAGAGTCAGGAACCCAATGGTCCTGGACAGCCAGTAGGGGTTTAGAGATCAGAGAGATAATATAAACCACCTCTAGCATGTTAATGCTAAGAATGTGGAACAAGTGGGAAAGCCGATCAAGGTTGAAAAATTGTAGCCAAAATTTTGGATATAATTAGAGCATTGACACCAATGTGAAGAATCAGTGGATGATCTGGTGGTAAACATGGAACAAAACATGTTGGTCTGCTTCCAAAGTTTGAAGTTCACATCTAGCTCTAGATGAATCTTTTTTTAAAGATTTTATTTATTTATTTATTTAGAGAGTGCAAGCGGGGGAGGGGCAGAGGGAGAGGGAGAGAATCTCAAGCAGACTCCGTGCTGAGTGCAGAGCCTGTCCCAGGGGTCGATCTCAGGACCCTGAGATCATGACCTGAACCAAGACCTGAACCGAAATCAAGAGTGGGCCACTTAACTGACTGAGCCACCGAGGCACCCTTCTAGATGAACCTTTCTTCTTTCCCAAAGAGTTAGTGCTTGTGAGGTAGTTCCAGAATTTTCTGTCCTTAGTTTGTACTTCTCTTACACTTACCATGCTATACTTTGAAATGCTCATCCCCCTTACTATCTTATAAGCTTCTTGAGGGTAGACACTGTGGCTTACTCTTATTCTTCTCACCTGCATTGTCTAGTGCAATGCCCTTTACACAGGGATGTCAATAAATAACTTTTGAATTATAGTTTGGAAGATGAGCTGATTTAGTGGAAACTATTAAGAATTTAATATATGTTGAGATTACAGACTTCCAGGGCATCCAGTGGGAAGTATCCTGAAATAAATTGGAGTTGAAAGACTCAATGTTCGGAAGGAATGAATGGATGAACAGATATATTTGGATGATTTCCATATAAAGATGAAAGCCAAAGAAGTATGTGTAGAGATAAAAAAAATCTAAGTTGAGGACTAATTAGTCCTCATTTCATTTATTCAATCAATATTTATTAATTATTTAGAATGTTCCAAACACTTAGGTATGCATAATTACACAAATATACTTAAGGAATCAGAAATAGTCTCTCCAATCAAAGATTTTCAGTCCTCCAGTGGTGGTGACAGACTGATAAGGAGATGATTGTGATATATATTAAGTGGAGAAAGAGTATTCAAAAAGGCAGGTGTGACTAGAAACATCTTCAAAAAATGAAGACAAAAAGGTGCGCCTGGGTGATGGCTCAGTCAGTTAAGTGTCTCCCTTTGGCTCAGGTCATAATCCCAGGGTCCTGGAATGGAGCCCCGCATCAGGCTCCCTGCTCTGTGGGGAGCATGCTTCTCCCTCGGCCCCTCTACCCATGTATGTGTGTGCACTCACTCTCTCTCAAATAAATAAATAAAATCTTTTAAAAAAATGAAGACAAAAGGAAAACAATTTTATTTGCCCATAGCAAGATCACTGATCATCTTTGAAAATTCTGTTTCTAGGCAGATGTGAGACAAATCTGTTTAATGTTTGTCATACTGGTTATGTAATGACATAGAAAATACATATACAGGGGCGCCTGGGTGGCTCAGTCTTTAAGCATCTGCCTTCGGCTCAGGTCATGATCCCAGGGTCCTGGGATTGAGTCCAGCATCGGGCTCCCTGCTCCACTGGGAGCCTGCTTCTCCCCCTCCCACTCCCCCTGCTTTCTTTCCCTCTCTCGCTGTGTCTCTCTCTGTCAAATAAATAAATAAAATCTTTTAAAAAAATACATATACATTTTATAAAGTCTTGCATTATTATTTGGTACAACACCTGGTGGAAAATTCACCTATCTCCATGTTTCTTTTTCTTCCAATTTCTTCTTTTTCATACAAATGCGATGCTCTGAATAATCTAAATGTTTTCTTTGGCATTCATTCATAAAGATGGGATTTTAATGGTCATGTTAGTCCAAATCTTAGGGCTCCCGAATCCTATATAAGTGAATTGTTTAGAAAAAGAGGAGTGGCAAAAAAGTATAATGAGGTTATCTACAAAGTCCAATTTTATTCTCTCTTTATAATAAAGTACTTTGCATCTTCAACATAATTTTAGACATCTAGAGAAGATTATGCAGGAAGATCATTTCAAGGCAATCACCATATTTAAAGATTTGGATTAAATATTGATGATCCATTTTGCTCACTGAAGTTTTGTTCCAGTGTTATTTATGCCTCTGCTGGTGGCTTGCAGTTTCACATTATTTGAAATGAAAAGCAAGTTCTTTTCAGCTAAAACAAATTCTACAACATCTCACCAGGAAAAAAAAAAGTTGCCTTTCCCATAAATTACCAAGTATTTAGAAAGGTGTGAAGCCCACATGCAAAAAGGATTGCAACATATTGAGGAAAATACAATGAACCCGTTATGGAGACTTAACACTGCCCGTGTGTTGCAAAGAGATTATACATCGCTGTGGATATGAAAGTACAGAACCCCGAGACTAGCACACACATGGCCTGCAGATGCTAGTTCAAGTCTAAGCTGTTTTATTCTCTAGTATATAAGGGGATAAAGATTCAGTTGAAAGGTATCATTAATCAATGGTTATTCATTTTATTGACACATCAATTATAGACACAAGTGAGAGGATTATCCCTGAGGTCTTAATAGAAAATAGCCTCAGAGAAACTGAGAACAAAGCCTTTCCTTGGGTGAAGGGGAAAATAAAGTTGTTTATTTTTCTAAAGCATCCTATTCTGAACTCTGGTCTGGATGCAATGAAAAATTAATGGTGAGAGATCTTTTTTTTTCATTCCTTTATTAATTGTTACTCACTATCTTCATAAAATACATTTTTATATTAAACACATGAATTTAAAACATGATATGTAATGTGACTTAATTAAGATTTTGATACTTTTTCTCAAGTATCTACAGTAACTGATGAGCACATGATTTGACAGATATTCAGAAATTGTTGACAGCATTTTTCTTTCTTTCTTTCTTTCTTTCTTT